AAAAACTAACTTTTTCAACTTAATTTTTGAAAATGTTCCGGAAATACTGCGTCCTTTAAACACATATCAAATTAAAGCTTATTTTATTACTGTAAAATGAAAAAAAAAATTTGTCGAGACACTTTATCTTCTGCATGTAAACGGCTGCCGTAGTTAAAAACACGCTATTTTTGTGTTAAAATTTTCGATTTTAAATTTTCAACTTAAAAATGCTATAACTTTTCGAAATATGTATGTATCAGCACAAATTTTTTTTTTCTAAATAGATTATAAATTTTTTTCTAAGTACATCTTTCATTTGACATACTTTTTATTAAAATTGGACAATTTCGCCATATATAGGGGGCGTTCAAAACTTGAAATATTGTATAAAAAATAGAACTTTTTCAACTTAACTTTTAAAAGTGTTCCGGAAATACTGCGTCCTTTAAACATATATAAAATTAAAGCTTATTTTATGTACTATAAAATGAAAAAAAATAAACCAATACTATTAAATAATACATAGTTAGGTACAGATTTAATCTGAAAGTGATTAAAATCACTATCATAAGAAACGCTTCGATGCAAATCTGTAGTGTTTAATTTAAAAAAATTGATGGATAATTGCAAAATCAACATCAACTTCTATTAAAACAAAATACAAAACCCATAATTTTAATACAAAAATAGCATATCTTTGAATACGGTAGCCATTTGCGCATAGAAGATAGGTCGTCGGGACAAATTTTTTTTTTTCATTTTATAGTACATGATATAAGCTTTAATTTTATATATGTTTAAAGGACGCAGTATTTCCGGAACATTTTCAAAAATTAAGTTGAAAAAGTTAGTTTTTGTAAAAAAGTTACTATTTTAAATCCCCCCCAATGAGCAGGTTAAGTATTAGATTTTCAAAAAAATGATATGAAATGAAAGGGAAATATCACGCATAGGGTGCGAGGTTTAAATCCGTCTGGGGCAATTAATATTTTGCATTTTTTTTTTGAGTTAGAATAAAATTTTCAAATCATTTGATATTTATCTCATTTAGATTCAATAACTTCAATAAATATAAAGGATCCTATCACTATAGTCTCCCCTAGTGAGAAGAAATGTTTTATTCATGTTAATATTATTTTGCTATATAGTTTTTTTTGTGGCTATGATTTATTTTGCCAACCCTCATTAGACCTACTTTTTTCAACGATACGTCAAATGATTACAATTCATATTTAGTTTAAGTTATTACTCTTAAAAATCGAAAAAATATTCTTTATTCAAACAAAAAGTAGCATAACCAGATTCTTCATACAAACAATTAAAATCATTAATTTCTAATATTCTTAAAGTATTTATTGTCGAATTAGATTTTATATGATAAAAGTATTCAACTACAAAAGTAAATAATTTTACTTTGTGATTTATTCATTTTTTAACTCAATTTGTGTGTGCTTCTATCAGTCTATAATATTCTAAAATTTTTTGTAATATGTTGCTATATAAATCATAAATTTAAAGAAAAAATGATTTTTAGTTTCACCTGAATTTAACGATGGATTTTTACAATTATAATCAAATTTTATAATACGCTCAATTGAGTAAATCTTTTTAACAACTTTGTTTTGTTTGATTCATTTAGTTAAAGTAAATCATTAAAATTAATTAAGTTCTGAATATTTCAATTGCAGAATCTTTTAAAACACCAAAAGTTATTAGGAAATGATTAATATTACTTCTATTTAAGTTATCTATTACGATAAAAAATATTGAGCTTATATGATAAATTTACAATAAATAGTAATTATAAAATTTCCTGACTGCATATTAATCTTAACAATACAATTTTTTTAATTCACATAGAATTTTCTATTTAATGATGTCAATTTTAAACTTGCAATTAAGATAAACTTTCACAAAAATCAACTTTAAACGATTAAAAAAATACGTTAAATATGTTATTTTTTAGCTTCGATGCGAAGCTAAGAAGGTATTGGTTTTACTATGATCTGTTTATTTTTTTTTTTTCGTGTCTGTTATCACTTTTTCTCAGCTCTCACGGAACGGATTTCTTTGAACGATACGTCAAAAGATCACAAATCGTATCTAGTCGAAGACATTACCCTCAAAAATTGAAAAAATTTCCCTCGTTCCCCGTAAATGGGGGAAATTTCCAAAAAAATTACAAATTTAAAAATCGCTAATTTTCGAAATTTTTTTTACTAAAAACTGCCGTAACTTTATCAAAAATGAACATATTAATATAATTTTTTTTTATAGATGCTTGATGTCTTTACCTATCATTTGGTATATTTTTTTTGTAAATTTGACCTTTTTTCTGCCCACAGGGGGGGATTTAAAATGACAACTTTTTCACAAAAAATTTACTTTTTCAACTTAACTTTTGAAAATGTTCCGGAAGGTCTGACACTTTTATATATATCTTAAATTAAAGCTAATGTAATGTACTTTAATTTGAAAAAAAAAAATTTGACCTCTGCACTTTTCTTCATGGTGAAAACGGCTACCGAATACTATTTTTGTGTGAAAATTCTCGATTTTATAATTGACATTTTTTACTTTAAAGTGCTATAACTTTTTAAAAAATGTAAGGATAATACAATTTTTTCATGAGAAGTACTATTTATATACATCTTTCATTGGATATACTTGTATTTTAAATCAGACTATTTCCCTATATATGGGGGGGCTTCAAATATAAAAAATGCATATAGAAAGTAGAACTTTTTCAACTTAACTTTTGAAAGTGTTCCGGAAGGTCTGACACTTTTATATATATCTTAAATTAAAGCTTATGTAATATACTTTAATTTGAAAAAAAAAAATTTGACCTCTGGACTTGTCTTCGTGGTGAAAGTTGACATCAAAGTTAATAAAAAATTACGATTTTTGTAAAATAATTTTTTTTTATATTTTTAACTTAATAATGCTCTAACTTTTTCAAAAATGAACATATCAATATAATTTTTTTTTATATAGATGCTTGATGTCTTTACTTATCATTTGGTATATTTTTTTTGTAAATCTGACACTTAACCTGCCCACAGGGGGGGATTTAAAATGACAACTTTTTCACAAAAAATTTACTTTTTCAACATAACTTTTGAAAATGTTCCGGAAGGTCTGACACTTTTATATATATCTTAAATTAAAGCTAATGTAATATACTTTAATTTGAAAAAAAAAAATTTGACCTCTGGACTTGTCTTCATGGTGAAAACGGCTACCGAATGCTATTTTTGTGTGAAAATTTTCGATTTTATAATTTACATTTTTTACTTTAAAGTGCTATAACTTTTTAAAAAATGTATGGATCAATACAATTTTTTCATGAGAAGTAGTATTTATATACATCTTTCATTGGATATACTTTTTTTTTAAATCAGACTATTTCCCTATATATGGGGGGGCTTCAAATATAAAAAATGCATATAGAAAGTAGAACTTTTTCAACTTAACTTTTGAAAGTGTTCCGGAAGGTCTGACACTTTTATATATATCTTAAATTGAAGCTTATGTAATATAATTTAATTTGAAAAAAAAAATTTGACCTCTGGACTTGTCTTCGTGGTGAAAGTTGACATCAAAGTTAATAAAAAATTACGATTTTTGTAAAATAATTTTTTTTATATTTTTAACTTAATAATTTGTGTGTGCTTCTATCAGTCTATAATATTCTAAAATTTTTTGTAATATGTTGCTATATAAATCATAAATTTAAAGAAAAAATGATTTTTAGTTTCACCTAAATTTAACGATGGATTTTTACAATTATAATCATATTTTATAATACGCTCAATTGAGTAAATCTTTTTAACAACTTTGTTTTGATTGGTTCATTTAGTTAAAGAAAATCATTAAAATTAATTAAGTTTTGAATATTACTATTGTAAAATCTTTTTAAACGCCAAAAGTTAATTAGAAATTATTACTATGATTTTTATTTAAGTAATCTATTACGATAAAAATGTAAAAAAATCTAACTTTTCTGATAAATGTACTGTAAATAGTAAATATAAAATTCCCTGATTGCATATTAATCTTAACAATTTAATTTTTTTCTATTTAATAATGTAAATTTCAAACTTGCAAGTTGAGCTAAATGTTATGGTAATAAATTCTTTTTTTTTTTTTATTAAAACTTTCATTTTAAAGGACAAAAAAAATGTAGGTTCAAAATGATTACTTTTATCATATTAAAAATCAAAATCAATAATAATTTAAAAACAATTAATTTTAAAAATTGTATAATATATAATTATAAGAATTACTAATCTGGATTTAATTAAGGAAATAGAAGTTGATGTTGCTTTTGTAATTATCCATCAATTTCTTAGAATTAAACATTATCTACTGATTTGCATCGAAGCGTTTCTTATGATAGTGATTTTAATCACTGTCAGATTAAATCTATACTGGACCCAACTATGCAACGTCCCCACTATGCCGCGACCCCACTGTGCTGGGTTTTTTTAATTCATTCTTTATACCTCATAAGGATGTTAACTTTATTTCTTATAATGGAAACATACTTATTTAAATAGTTCATAAAATGAAAAATGGTATAATTAAAAAAATGACTAGTCATTTAATTAAATTTTTTGTAAAAGGGTATTTAAATGAAGTAATTACCCCCTCTTTTCTACAGGATTATACTATTTTATCTAAAATATTTAGCTCAAAAAGTAATAACGATCGTGATATAACAAATAAAGATGTTATTTAATTCAAATTTTTTATTTAATCAACACTTGTGTTGATTAAATAAAGAATCAACGTGTAGTATCATATTAAGAAATCATCATATTATCAATAATGTTATTTAGAAAAAAATATAGTAACCATCTCTTGTTTAACACTATAAACTGAAAATTTCTTGTTATTTAATTTAATGTTTCTTTATATATTTTAGGTAGAATATTTTTTTGATGATTCAATATGGAAATATCAATAAGAAATTATAATTATAAAAGAGATGCTAGAAAATATCTAAAAAAATATTTGGAACATTTAAATATTCAAATTTATTTGATTCAATAATAATGAAATAAATACAAAATATTAATTTATTCATAGAATTTGTACAAATATAATTCTTAGATTATAATTAAAATTATTCACTATAATATTTATTTTGAGCTCTGCTAAATCCTTCAATGATTGCATTCCTGGAAATAAAATCAGTATAATTAACTATATTATTAGTCATAATTAGAGTTAAGTGCTTCAATAAAAAAAGTTTAGATATAATTTTAGATTCTTACATTATAGGTATTTATTATTTCTATATGTATAATTTTCTCTCTCAGATTATAGTCTGCTCATATTTTATATCAAAAACAAAATTGGTTTTAAGTTAAATTTAAAGTAGAACCTAGGAAAAAAATGTGTTTACAGGACAAACCCACGACAAGTTATGGGGAATCGGGTTTTCGGATATATTTAAGAATTTTAATGTTAAATACAACAAGTTAAATAACGGATGTAGTACATTAATTTTGGTATAAATATTTTTTTTTAATTTCTATTACTTTTCATGAAATGCAACTAGAATGTTTTTTTAATAGCATATTAATAGGTATATATAAAGCAGCATAATTGGCGGTTATGTAAACGATACGTCAAAAGATCACAAATTTTTACAAAAATGTACACACAATTCTATACAATTGAAGACACAATCATGAAAAGTTGAGAAAATTTCGCTCGTTCACTGTAAATTACGATTTTTAAAATCGGTAAATTTCGATGCAAAGCTGAGAAGGTATAAATTTTACTATGTGTTTTTTATTTAAATAAAAAAAAGTTTGTTCCCACTTTTTCTCAGCACTCATCATTGATTTCTTTCAACGATATGTCAAAAGATCAAAAATCGTATCAAGTCGAAGACATTAACCACAAAAATTAAAAAAATTTCCTCGTTCCCCGTAAATGGGGGAAATCTACAAAATAATTAAAAAATTAAAAATCGCTAATTTTCAACATTTTTTCAATTTTTTTTTACATAAAACTGCCATAACTTATTCAAAAATGAACAAATCAAAATAATTTTTTTTTTATAGATGCACGATGTCTTTACCTATCATTTGGTATATTCTTTTTGTAAATCTATAATAAAGTATAATATATTATCTTTAACTTTTTCCACTTAACTTTTGAAAGTGTTCCGGAAAGTCAGACACTTTTATATATACATATATATAAATATATATATATATATATATCTTAAATTAAAGCTAATGTAATGTACTTTATTATGGTAAAAAAAATTTCAGACTTAATTTTGGAGATTTCCCCCATTTATGGGGAACGAGGGAAATCTTTTCAATTTTTGAGAGTAATGTCTTCGACTAGATACGATTTGTGATCTTTTGACGTATCTTTGAAAGAAAACGATTCGGTGAGAGCTAAGAAAAAGTGGTAACAGATAAAAAAAAAAAAAAAAAACATCATAGTAAAATTAAGTTACGATTTATCGGTCGTATTGTACGGACGTGTTTATCTCGCGTACGATTGTAGTTACCCGCCTATTTTTAGAGTACTATTCCGCTATTGATAGTTTTTATTAGTTTGAATCCATAGTTTCGCCTTTTTGGCACATTTACGGTGTCCGCCTAGGCTCTGGATGCAAACCAGACCTAACCCGGGAGGAGGTGACCAGCACTACCCCCCACTGTGCCGTAGAAGCACTATGCAATCTTCCAATCCACAAATCTCTATAGATAATTCTCTTTATTCTGGTAAGAACAATCAAGGTTCTAAATCGCCAATTAGCCCCTTACACAAAAAACCTAAATCTGACGGTAATCCAAAATCCGATGACCCCCAATCTCAAACTTTCAGCATGGATAGTAGCTCACCTGAAATCATCAAACTTCAAACATAAACTCGCTCTATATCGATTCTCCTAATATATCAACAGTCAAACAACCAAATGTTCCTGAATGCTTTCCACTACACTACACTGGTCCCCTTAATGTACTTGTTTCTGCATCTGGCGATAATAACTTAGGTAATTTTCACCCAGTTAAGCTCGATAAAACTTTTTCTAAACTATTCTATATATATATATATATATATAGTCTTATCAAAACTAACCGGTTCACTACCACATACACCTATACGCACTGTGAGTATTCCCGACAACCTTAATGTTGCTGACCCATCGTTCAATCAGCCGGGTAATATTGACATTCTCATCGGAAGATATGTGCCGAAAAGCTCAAAACAAAAAAAAGCCCATACCTGCAAAAAACATTACTCGGGTGGGTGGTGGTAGGTAAATCATTAAAAGATATGAATGGTATCAAATTAAATTCGTATTTGTCAATAACGAAACATCAGTACGAATTATTAGATAATAAAATTGAATTATTTTGGAAAATGGAAGACTTATCTTCGAAGCATATTTTCACCAATGAACAAAAATTGTGCTTAACACATTTTTCCGAAAACGTCGACCAAAATGAGGATGGTAGATTTGTAGTAAAATTACCATTCAAAGTAAATTGTAGCCAACAGCTGGGCGATTCATTCAATTCAGCAGTACACAGATTTTTGTCATTAGAAAAATGACTATTAAAAAATTCCGAATTACATGATAAGTATAAAATGTTTATGTTAGAATATGAAAAATTAAAACATATGGAATGTATAGGCAATGCGAGAGGTGATAATCAGTTAATCGACAACAATAAATGTTTTTATTTATCGCACTCGTACATTTTAAACGATCATAGTAGAACGACCAAGCTGCGCGTTGTGTTTGTCGGGTCATCGAAAACCAGCACGGGGGTGTCATTAAATGACATATTAATGAACGGTCCCAAAGTACAACCAGACTTATTAGATATCATAATTCGATTTAGAACTCACAGATATGCATTCTCGGCGGATATAACGAAAATGTATCGACAGGTATTAGTACACAAAAATGATCGTGATTATCAACGTGTATTATGGAGATCGGATCCAAGTGAAGAGTTCAAAATATACAGATTACGTACAGTTACTTATGGGTTGGTACCCGCGAGATTTTTGGCGATGAGCTGCGTCAACCGAGTAGCTGATAAAACAACAAATACAAGATTAAAAGAGNTTTGGCGATGAGCTGCGTCAACCGAGTAGCTGATAAAACTACAAATACAAGATTAAAAGAAATGATCAAAAACGATTTTTGTGTGGATGATTGTCTTACCGGAGCAGATACGTTGACTGAAGCTATAATGTTACGTGATGAATTAATTTCAATTATGAAAAGTGCGGGATTTGAATTATCAAAATGGACGGCAAATCATGAAGATTTATTTCCTAATCTAAGTAATGGCAAATCACAAAAAATCTCAATGGATAGAGAAAAAGTAAAAACTTTAGGTTTGTATTGGGAACCGGAGAGAGATTACTATACATATGTCGTTCAGATACCAAAAATAAACGCTCAAGTCACCAAAAGGCACGTTCTTGCCGGTCTGGCGACGTTGTTTGATCCATTAGGTTTAGTAGGTCCTATCATATTAGTTGGAAAAATATTACTTCAAAAATTATGGCTTGAAAAAATCGGTTGGGATAGTCCAGTTCCGTCACACATACAATCAGAATGGAAAAATTATAATAGTTGTTTAAATGAGCTCAATTCATTTAACATACCTCGTTGGGTGGGGTCTGATAAAGAAAAACACATTGAAGTACATGGATTTGCGGATGCATCTACGAAAGCATACGGTGCGTGTATCTATATACGTACTACAGGTATGACGGACAGAGTCGTTAACTGATAATTAGTGTGCGCAAAGTCGCANAGTCGTTAACTGCCAATTAGTGTGCGCAAAGTCGCGTATATCACCGATAAAGGTAGTGTCAATTCCAAGATTAGAGTTATGTGCGGCATTACTTTTATCACGTCTTATGCATGTAATTATATCGGCGCTTAAACTGAACATATCAAAAAAATATTTTTGGACGGATTCAACTGTCACTTTAGCTTGGGTAGCTGCAGAATCAAGTAAGTGGAAAACATTTGTTGCTAATCGTGTCAGTGAAATACACATTTTGACTGAGCTTTCGGAGTGGGGACATGTGAAATCGAACGATAATTCAGCTGACGAGGATGTACGCCAAACGAATTAAAAAATAACATACTTTGGTGGCACGGTCCGGTATGGTTAATTAATAATGATTTCAAAGGTTCAATAGCACACACCGAAGATTTGGAACATATAAACGATATTAAAAACGAAGAAAAGATTACGTCTATTATCGCGTGTGTTACTACAGTAAGCCCGGTGTTTGATATTGATAAATATTCATCTCTGAACAAGTTATCACGCGTTGTTGCGTATTTATTACGATACAAAAATAATTCATTATCGAAACATTATGAAAATTTTTTATAAATTCTCCGTATAAATTACAATATTAAATTATTGAATATCAATTTCATACTACATTTAATTGCTTTAATAAATATTTATTTATATATTATACTTATAAATCAAACAATTACTAATCAGGAATAATGAAGGTAATAGGAATTCATTTTGCTTTTGGTATAATCCACCTATTTCTTAAAATTCAACATTATCTACAGATATTCTTCAAAGCTTTTTTTGTGGAAGTGTTTTAATCACTGTCAGATATTATCTTACTGCCGTTTTTTTTTTTATTATTATTTTAATCACATTTGTTTTTATAGAAGTTTTTATAATACTTTTAATATAATACATAACATGCAAAGTTGTAAAATTTTGAAGATACATCAATTTTAATAATAAAATACTATTATTTCTACTTTATGCAGAATATTTTTAATTGGGCCGAAAACCTAAGAGGGGGGCGTATAGCTGTATTCCTTGTTAGAAAATATATCGTTTTTTTTCTTCAAATATTGTAATTTTAGAATTTTTATATAATAAATAATATTGCTATAATAATCTGATTTTAGTTTTGCGCTGAACATGTACCGCAAAATAAATTCAATACAAATATTATTCAATATTGTTTCTTTTTACATTGTTCTTATTTAAATTTTACTGCTCACTATTATAGTACTATACTATATTATAAATTTGATCAATTTTTCTATATTAAATATAATATTTCCAGCTAAATTATTGTTGAATCAACAGACCAATCAAAAGAATTTAAATTAAAGACACCAGCTATAAGAAAA